AGCACAGTTATTTGTTTAACCTTTACTTATACAGGTAGTCTCGTTGAGTCTCAACAGAGACCTGTTTGGGAGCAGATGGTGGGGTTTAATGTCCTTGCTCATGGGCACAAAGTAAGGCAAATGAAGGTGGAGGCAGAAAGTGTGGGTGCTTCACCTTTTCCACCTACATTTTGATGTTGTCGGTACGGGGAGTTAAACCGGCGACCTTCCGATCACAGGTGCACCGTCTCTAACCTCTGCGCCACCACTCCCACAAAGTGTAGCACTCGGCGTACACGTTGTGAATCACTCTCAGCCACTTCCACAACAAACTTTAGCTCAATATCTTTAAAATGACCAAAATAGAGCAGCCGTCAATGGCTGCCATTCAAAATGGCTGACCGTGGAGCGTGATGAGGCTTATTTCCACACCGATCACAGCATCGCAGTTTTAGCTTTGATGACTTATTGTCAGCTATCAAAATAAGCCGTGAGATTTTAGAGTATTAAAAAGTGACGGCACGATCAGAAAAAAATCAAACCCTAAAAAAATAAATACAAGATTATATTGAAACTCATGGAGTCAGTCAGTTTAAAGGCTCACAGGAAAACAAGAATCAAGACAACTAAAAGGCTTTTTATAAATATATTCATGAAGCAGCATTATATCATTTATTCACACTGTTACGTTAAGAAGTGGGAAAACAGCAGAAATGTAAACGTGCTTATCACTGGGCGTAGTTTCATTTAAAGTTTGTTACAAACATCTGAGACATGAGGAGGTTACTGAGAAAACTGTGCATTCTTTTTCCATCTTGTTTACAGTTTCCTTCAGTCTTCTGTGCACTTGTAGATCAGCTGTCTCATAGATAAAGTTCTCTCATTCATTACTCACACATGATGTCAACACAGCACTCCTTCATTATCCATCAACACCCACGTATTCTGGCCCGGTGACTAACGTGTTTATAGGAAGTCGGTGCTGCTGCTGCTCTTCAGTGTCTGAGAAGGTGGGCGGTTCACATGACTAACCTCTGCTGGATCGCAGCTGTTTTTTCATTCAGCCTTTATTTATACAGGTTAGTCCCACTGAGCCTCGAGGACTCACTTACAAGAGAGACCTGTTTTAAATAAAGAATGACGACAACAGTAGACAATCATAAAAGAAGGCATATAAATTGAAAAATAAAATGATGTTAAAAAATGAAAGAAAAACAGCTACATTATACAACGATATAAAAAACTAAAAACAGGAACGTGTTGATTTTTGCCATCAACTTAACAGATGTTGTAAGAATCGACAAACTCAAGCGGAAAACCATTCAAAGATAAAATGGATGGAAGAACTGCTGGGACCGACTTCCTGTTTGAAAACAACATCCCTTTGGTTTTGTCAGCATTTGAGTCCTTGAGGCTCAATGGGATTTACCTGTCTACATAAAGGTTGAATGAATTTTGCACCAGTTTGAGATGGAACAAATCAGACTGGATGATGTTAAATGCAGACTGTAAAAGCTGAAAAACCTTAGCAACTGTTTTAGCTCGACAAAAAACAACTGTGTCATCAGCATAGAAATGTAAGGATGCATCAGGAATGATCTGACCTACATTACTTATGTAGATTGTGAAGAGGGTGGGTCTTAAGACTGAGCCTTGCGGTACACCGTTGTTAACAGTTAGATAACTGGAAGAAGTACCGTTATATTGAACACATTGCCTCCGATCTGAGAGATAATTAGAGAACCAGCCAATGCTGTGATCTGAGAGCTTATGACACAAAATGTCATGGTCCACAGCGTCAGAAGCTTTAGACAGGTCTAAGAAAAGTGCAGCATGATAATCCTTAGCATCCAGTGCTTCAACAATGTCATTAAAAACCTTCATTGACGCAATCGTGCTTTATTTCCTGAAACCAGATTGATGGAGAGGTAAGATGTTAAATGAGTCCAGATACTTGTTGATTTGAGAGTTTATCAGTTTTTCTAGGACCTTAGTTAAAATACAGTTTAGAGACTGGTTGATAATTGTTCAGTGAGGTGGGGTCACCTCCCTTCAGTAAAGGTAGAACAAAGGCTGTTTTCCAAGCATTTGGAACAGTGCTTTGGATTATAAACAGGTTAAAGATGTGGGGCACCGCTGGTTCTGCAATGATGTGTGTGGCCAGCCTTAAGACACAAGGATGAAGGTCATCAGGACCTGCAGGTTTTTTAGAATCTAGATCTTTTAACAATTTATTAACCTCGCTAACCGAAAACAATGAAAATGAAAAGGTGTGGTTCACTGAGGACTGACTTGTAGGAGATTTCTGTGGATACGATCACCACGGTGGCGCAACTGGTAGAGCTGCTGCCTCTCAGCGAGCAGGTCCCTGGTTCAAATCCCGGTCCAGGGGCCTTTCTGGGTGGAGTTTGCATGTTCTCTCCGTGCATGTGTGGGTTTTCTCCGGGTACTCCGGTTTCCTCCCACAGACCAAAAACATGCATGTTAGACTGATTGGTAACTCTAAATTGTCCCTAGGTGTGAGTGAGAGAGTGAATGGTTGTTTGTCCCGTTTGTCTCTATGTGTCCCTGTTATGGACTTGTGACCCGTCCAGGGTGTACCCCGCCCCCTCACACAGTGACTGCTGGACATGGGCACCGGCGACCCTCGTGACAGAAAATGGAAGAAGCGGGTAAAAGATAATGGTTGGATGATCACCACAGTGTTTTGGGCATTTCACACAGATCTGACAGATACTTGGTGACCGTTCACAGTGGCTGACAGTTGTGTGTTGATAAAGAGCTGGTGTTTGCAGAGATGCAATGCTCACACACATCATCATAACACTTCCCCCCTCAGCAAACACACACACACACACACACACACAAAATCAAGCATTTTATGAGGAGAGAATCATCAGGAAGAGGGAACTCCTGCACATGCAGGGTATCAGTGCAGACAATGGATCATCTGTCCTTAACAAATACTGAGCCTTGCATCTATTCAACAGGCGGCCCGTGGGCCAGATGTGGCTCTTTTAAAAGTTTCTCAGGTCCCCATAAAGCTGCCAGAGTCCTACAGTTATTTGTCTTAATATGATGATAAAAACATGCAAAACACATCACATCTATTTCCATACCTTTGTAATATTATCCAGTTGGTGTTGTTACGCCGTATTGTTTTACATTATTAGTGTTTAGCGTATATCTTAGATCTTTTAGCGTACCATTTGGCATTCTGTAGCTTATATCTTAGTGTATATCTTAGATCCTTATTTACTGTTTCTTTTTATACTTTATATTTTTGCTATTTTTGTGTGAAACTGGGACCCTGAGCACATAATTTTGTTCCACCTCAAATACCACGTGTGATGGAAATGACAATAATCTTGACTTGAACTTGAACTTAAGCTAATAGAAGTAAACCCTGACAACACCGAGGGGTGGGCAGTTGCCCACCTGTCAGCAGGTGTCTGATCACCCCATTGAGCTGACTAAAGGCAGTCAGACCACAGGATGCAAAGGAGACATGTTAGCTAAGCTCACTGCACAAATTGGGATCTCAGGAAGACATCAGGAAGCTAAAAGTAGCAAACAAACGGGCTATAAGCTAAAGTAGCAGAAAGCTGGCTAAAAGCTAAAAGTAGCAAAAGGCTAGCCTGAAGTTAAAAGTAGCATGAACATGAACATTACAAAAGACTATCTGAAACCAAAAGTAGCAAAACGCTTGCTAAAAGCTAAAGTTGTAAAATAGTAGCTAAAACAATGTAGTAAAGGAAAACACAAAAAGGAGCAAGTAGCTGAAACAGATTTCAAATTATATTTTTGAAGGAACTGAAGAGATCTCAGTTAATTTTGAAAGGTAAAACAAATGTATTTGTAAATTTTGTTAGATGGTTTGAAATTTATAAAAGTTACAAAACCCAATAGTCTTCTTATTGAGCTGAATATTTTGGTGATATGAACAACTAATAATAGCACAAAATATACAGAAGTAATTTGATTCCTAAAAATAAAAAGTACTGACTAAAACCAGAAAAGCAATAAAGCAAGGTTGGATCTGTAGAAGCCCATTTCTGTCATGAAAGAAAAAATAAAAGCCCAACAGGAAGTCATAATTTCAACTTTTAAAGCCATAGTTATGGGAATAAAAGTCATTATTACGAGTTTTAAAGTCATAACTATGAGAATACAAGTCATAATTTCGAGTTTTAAAGTCAAAATTTTGACTTTTCTAATTTAATTTCAAAGTTTGTCCCTTGCCGGACACCGTGACTCTACAGGGATGCAACTTCCTGTCAGACACGGGTAGTTTTCCTGCATAGCACATGGATTCATTCATTTAATGTATGTCCCTCAGCCTTCAAACGTCCTTTTAAATAAAGGTATATAATGTATACATCTTTTCATTGCCACTTTATATAACATTTAGTATCGAAGCCCATTTCCGCTATGAAATAAAAGCCCAACAGGAAGTCGTAATTGAGTTTTAAAGTAATAATTACGAGAATAAAATCCATTATTACTAATTTTAAATTCATAATTACAAGAATAAAAGTCATAATTATGACTTTAAAACTAATAATAATTACTTTTATTCTGGTAATTATGACTTTAAAACTCGAAATTATTACTTTTATTCTCATAATTATGACTGTAAAACTCATAAGTATGACTTTTATTCTCATAATTATGACTTTAAAAGTCAAAATTACGACTTCATGTTGGGCTTTTATTTTTTTCTTTCATGGCGGGAATGTGCTTCCATAAGGACAATATTCCATTGCACAATAAAAACTTTATAAACAATATTATGAAACTTGTAATGAGCCTTATTTGTAAAATGTAGTATAAAAACATTTCAGAATTAAATAAATAAATAGTCTTTTGCAGTTTAGTACATTTTTATTTCAATTTCATGAGCTTTAAATAGAAAAACATTATGCACAATGAACGCGGAGTGACGTCACCGTCCCTCCCACCACGTGCCTGTTGTTTAAAAAAAAAAAAAACAACGACGTCATGAATCAAATTTCAGTCACGAAAGAGTTAAACCGAGCGCGTTCTCGGAGCTTCCCCGGGAGCGCGCAGAAGCAAATAGACAGCAGGTCCGTGGATCAGCCGGGGTACGGACGGTGCCGAGTACTGGCTGTGGAAACAAGGAGACCCGAGCGTTCGGTTCCGGCGGCGGGTTCTTCTCGTGGATTTGCGTGACGGGAACTTTTACTCAACGGTACCGACGCACATCGAGGCTCGTGGGGGATAGACTCGTCCACAACAATGTCGGGGAGCAGGGAGGAGGAGAGGAGGAAACTGGCCGACATCATCAACCACTGGAACGCTAACCGGCTCGACCTGTTCGAGATCAGCCAGCCCACGGAGGTAGGAGAGCCGCACGGAGAGCAGGGCAGGCCGCGGGGCCTCTGCCGGGCGAACAAAAGCCGACACACCCGGGCTACAAGCGCGCAAAGTCGGGCTGTGCGTCGTGGGCAGCGCGGTCACTCGGTCAGCGCCAAGTCCCTGCGTGCGTGGATCCAGTCAGCGCCAAACCCTTGAAAAACCGTGCGGGTTTACTGTAACGTACACGAGCGGCTCACGACGAGGCCTTGAAGAACCCCTCCATCTTCCGAGCCGTCGCGCTGAATAAACTCATAAACGAGTTAAATATTGACCACGACGTCGTGCGGTTGTATCTCACAGCGAGGAAGCTAGCTGCTGCTAGCTGCTGCTAGCTACCTGCCGCCACTCGGAGCGGAGAAAAGTCTCAAACCCTGTAGTCACACGCACGATCAATACACCGTGTTTCAGCTGGAGACCCGCGCTTGAACGTGCACGTCAAGGTGCAATTGTTAAAAAAGGGTCATGCGATTAAAAACCGCGCTGATTTATTCGGCTTTTATTGTTATTATTATTATTATTTGCTAGCTAGTTAGCAACAGAAGGCAAGTGCACAACAAACACCAGGAGCGATGTGTAAAGATGTTCAATCCGTTAGCTAGCTGAAGAGGTTTACGCTGTGAAAACAAATAAAAGCTCAAAATGTTTGCAAATGGTGGGTGCTGTAAATGCTTCCACCTGGACAGTCCCTGTCAGAGCAGAAACTGGTCCATCGTGTCCCCCTGGGTCCTTCCAGCTGTCTCTCAGCAGGACTTAGACCCTGCAACAAATTAAGGGGCTCTGCTTTACTACTGAACCACAGGACAAGACTTGGAGCGTTTTATTTTTTAAATAGTTTTTTTATGATTTGTCCAAGTTGGTCTGCATCCACAATCTGGACCGAGTTGGTGAACTCTGGGAGTCTCCATGTTGGTGCAAAGATTTGTCGTCCCAAGTTGCAAATGCCTTCGTTCGAATTTAAAACTTAAGTAAATTTGTGCAACTGATGTTCTCAACGTAGCCTGATAGCGGCGACACGGTGAGCCAGTGGTTAGAGGTGTAACCTCACGGCGAGAAGGTCACAGCATCGCTTCCCGGTCTGGGTGGAGTTGGCATGTTCTCCCTGTAGGGTTTTAATTGCTAACTAGTTGTGAGCGAGAGTGTTGACGGTGGTTTGTCTCGATTTGTCCCTGTGATGGAGCCGTGACCTGTCCAGGTTGTCTTCTGCCTCTCGGGTAAAGAAAATGGATGGATAGTCACGAAGCGGAAGGTGGTGTCTCCAACCCATCTTCAGGGGCCAGATCTGCTTCCTGCATGGAAGCGCCAACAGAAAACATCTGAAATGTCCAGGTCTAAAAAACAAAAGCTTTGTGAAGATAAATATTTTCTTAAACCGGTTCAAGTCTGTCCCAATATTATTTTTTTTTAAAGTGTGCTCCAGCAGATTAAAACATAAACGTGTTGTTGCCGTGTGGCTGAAGAGGTGGGTGCAGAGTGACCCGCGGGGTCAACTAAATAATGTGCACGGCCAAGAATGCAGTTTTCCAAGTTGAACGCATAAAAACGGGCCACGAATTTCCAAACCGGACTGCGGCCACATGGCTCGATGGTTTTCAAACGCTTGGTGTTCGGTGAAACTGCAACAGAAATTTACTTTACAGGAATTTTGAGTCGCTAGCTAGTTTCCAGTCACAACTCGGTGAGATAGCACCTCAGTGGACTTGGTTTGTTGTTGTTTACTAATGAACTACAGGACGAGACTTTGCTGTGTGTTTGTTGGTGTTGGTAGCGGTTCTTAGGCGGGCAGCTCACCCCCACCTTGCCCTTGGTGCAAGGGGGGGGTCACAAGATCCCCTCTTCTTCTTGAGCCGATTAATTTATTAGACTTGAAGCTGGCCAGCCGTTTTGCCAGAGCTGCACACACACACACACACACACACACACACACACACACCCCGCCTCGCCTCGGTTGGTTCTGCGAGGAATGATTAACCCTGTCCAATAGTTCTCCAGGCTGTAGTTCTCTCACGGTGCCTCAGGGTTTCTGCTGAAAGCACGCTCAGCGTCTCGTCCAGTTGGCCATGATTAAATGTAAAGCAGACGCATGGCTGCCCCCTCCACACCCCGCCCCGCCTGCCCACATGTCAGCTGTTGGAGCCCCCGAGCTGCACGAGTGTCCTTCACATGGTCCAGACAGCTCCTGACCGAGGCTGTGAACAAAATGCCAGCAATACTTCCAAGCAAGATCGACGCCTGTTTTACATTTGATCGGAACGTTGCGTCGCTGAAAGAAAGCACCATTTTTAAATTTTTTTTAATGTGACCTTAGAGCAGTGAGATCATTCATGTGATTAGATTAGCCATGGATGGATGATTCGTCTGGAACAAAGGTTCTCCAACTTTTTAATCTCACAAACTCAAACCGAATAAAGTCCTGCTGCGGATCTTGTGCTGCCGGGCTCATTACATCCCAACATGCACTGCTGTCACGTGAGGAGTCTGCAGAAACGTTCGGCTTGCTTCTGCAGACCGAGCGCCGCTCAGATTCAGACGAGCAACAGTTTGTTTTATTTGGGATTTTATTTAAAGGGTTTTTCTTTGGGGGGGCAGTGGTTTCAAAAGTTAGGTCGGGACCCCAGTGTGGGTCACAAAACACCCGGTGGGGTTTTTCAAGATGGTCTCCAGATATGAACTTCTGATTGACATGTTTCCAACACAAGTTTTGCAAAGGATAAAAACAGGAGGATTATAAAAGTGTCGCCTTCGTGCTCGTGTTTAGTTGAGTTGTGTCGGTTTTTATTCGAGCGTGCAGCAGTTCACGCAATCACACGTTTGTTCGCCGTTATAAATCGACCTCACTGGCTTAGCCTTCATCATCTGCATCGACACGTTGTCATTTATAGAAGGAAAACTGTTTTTTTTTTTTAAACTTTTAAATAAAGTGTTGTTCTGAACACAGCTGTTAAACATTCCTTGTCCTTTTGAACTTCAGTATCACTAACGATTATCTCGCTTCCCATTCACAGTATAATTCGTACAGAACTTGTCTAGTTTACAAAAGATAACAAACATTGATTTGGAGAAAGCAGCCTGGTTTGACAACAGCTGATTATCTTTAACTTTGTTCAGTTTATTGGCTCCAGATCTCCTCAACATGGATGGTAAACACGAAAACTGGACAAAAAAAAATCTCCACTTGTTGAGTCGTATCAAAAGGTTTAAATCACATTTACTGCTGTAATGAAATTCTTAAATTCACTTAAACCCTTCTATGTATCAATCATGTCCTCAAGAGTTGGCAGGAAAATACATTTAATTATCTTTGAGCTTATTCTTGGACTGGATAGTCTATATGAATGATTGGTCTTTACTTTCTGTTAAATGGGAAGTGATCCTGGTGGTTTATATGATCAGGAAAGAGGTGTAGTTTTATAATGTAAATGTAGGTTTGGCTATGATTTTTATCTGTTACCTGCTTATTAAGTCCTGTGTTTTCTGATCTTTACCTCCCATTTGTTCCCATCATATTATTTTTTGTTGTTCAGCAACCATATTAAGTATTATAATTAAGTATAAAATTCCTCCTCTTTATTACTTTGAGACTTAAACGCAGTCTTTTCCTGATGGATTGGCGCCACTTTTAGGAAAATCAAATCAAAATACGAACGTTTGTTCAGATTCGACGCCTCGTCCTTCTCATAAATGTAAAGTCTGGATCCATGTTTGGCAATATCTAGTTTTTGTTAGGATGTGGGAAAGAACTCTACACTGGACGGCTTTAATTCAGATTAAGATTTGATATAAACTTTTGATTTTATTTTCCTCTGCTCACGTTTTATTCAGAAAGATGTTCTTAGCCTCTTTTCAGATAGAAAATCTAACTAATGGCTCCATAAGCATATTAAAAACATGTGCACAGCGTCGTGTAACGTTACAGAATCTCAGACGGTTCACGAACTTGCACGTCTCTTACAGTTCGTTGCGTTCTTTTAACGCACGTTTGCATGTATGCCGACGACTGACCCTCTGCAGCTGCTCGTGCTTGGAAAGAATGAAGAAGTTTGTGGACGAGGTCGACCCGAACGTAAAACATGGAAACGAGCCCAGCAAACCCAAAGTGATGTTTCAGGAGTAGTGCAGCCGAAAAGCAGGTTTTAATACATTTAAAATAGGACTGCATTTTACAAATTAAGCCTCCATAAATACTGGAACGTCCCACGAAGCTTGCACTGCGCTGCAGCACATTTTACATGAAGTCGGCGTTGATTTGTTGCACTGGACAATAAATAACTGCTGCACTTTTTATTTTAGCTTCACCGGGCATGCTGCTGTTTAATTATGTGCGATAACGGTGTAATTAGCAGTCGGTAGTCAGCAGAATAATTAATGCAGCCATGTCAATAATCTGATCAGATGTTTAGTCTTGTTTTTCCTTAAATCCGATGTTTAATTTACTAAAAAAAAAAATGTTTTTGACGTATAAAGGTTCCTCGTCTTTAGATGAGCAGTGACTTGTCCAAGTCAGTTCATGAAAAGTGCTCGTTGTTGAGCCGAGGCTGCAGAGGACGTCTTAAAAGTGTTTTATTTATGCGACGGAGGCCGGACAGTTTTAACGCTCCTCCGCTTGTCCCGAGTGCCGACTCGACACTTTTCCAGAGCGTTGCGTGTCAGTTTGTAGATGACTGACTTTGGAGCGCGTCTCAGCCTCGTGTGCGAAGCGGCTTAAAACAACAGCTAAACCAACGTTTAAGATGTTGGGATCAAAGGAAATCTCTTAAATAAAGTCTAGAGATTTTAGGTTGCGACATGTTAAATGTTTATCATCTAAACGTGTTTGGTCAAAGTGTATTTGAACAACTGGAAGTACGGTCTTTAAATGCAACATTTGCTTCGGCTGAGTTCTTTGTTACGATCTACAAACACTTTACTGCGACGGAACAATGAATCCACACGAGCACAACAAAGTAAGTGCGCATCTAAACTCCCAATAAAGTATAATTAGTTGA